GACTTGATTCAAGTTGGAGTTGATCACATGTGCAGTTTCAAAAAATTGCCTTTCAAAAGTTCCCTTCTGCATTCTTTGGTCTCTTGTTTTAGTTGAACCAGTTTTTAGTTGAGAGATATTCTTTTGTACATGTACTACAATGGTAATTACACAAAGAATTACAGATTGGGTCATCAAAAAGTCAAAACTGTTTTGTTGTAGCATACAATAGTTCTGATTGGTTGAAAGTTGATACCCAATCAAATGACTACCAGGGCTTTTATTACAGAGATTTGACAGTTACAGTGTAATTCAAGGCTGCATGTTAAAGATTCCACCGAATAAATGATGAATCTACCGTTCAAACCTAATACTAAATCAATGGATCTATTTGTAAAATGTAAATTCAGATTTAAATATTCAAGAATAAGAAGTTTCTTTAGGACAAAAAATTATTGCGAGTTGGCATCGCAACAAAAGTAGTAAAGAAGCTTCAGAATACAAATGGTGTATTATATAATATGTTAAATGAAATCTATTGATTTTGTTCAAGTTAATTGTGATTGCTAAAGTGCATTTTTATAAAAATTCAAAAATTTTGATGTTTTAGGAAGACAAGGCTAGAAAATGAAACAATAGAGTTCATTAATATAAGAATACATTATCAAATTTCCTGCATCATAAAAATAAATTTTAAAACCCATTTCTCTTTGTTAGAGAATTCTGATATTTAGGTAAAAAGTCTTCCTTGTTAAATATGTTCAAATTTGAATTTGACGCTAAGCCAAACTCCTATGAAAAATGCCAGCTGGACATGAATACGATCACTCTCTATATATAGCATCCAATTGTATGACAGAATGAAGTTGAAGAAAGATGAAATGTCTTGTTAGTCTAGGAGCATACTGAATACATAGTTCTATTTGCCCTGTAATAATACCAGCGAATAACACCTCAGCTCTGACCAAAGAAATTACATCACATAGCATTAAAACTAGAATATATGTGGGTGGGCTTATTACTGGACATGGGCTTAATGGAGGATAAATGCTGGTCATTGAAGACTTTATTAGACTGATAGATTATCATTGTGGCAAAAGAAAGAGGTGTAATGGTCCTGTATCACTCCCATCACTTCCATATTACTGAACACTATTTAATTAACATGCTTCTCTTCTGTAATAAGAGCTGTGATAAATCAGTTGAGTGTTGACTTCAGTAACGTCAAGGTGAAGATCAGAGGCATGCTTTTGACACTTCCTACCTGTAGTGATTTACGTTTCTTACGGAGCTGAGAAACTGGCCATTCTAGACTGTCATAGATGTGTCCTTTGTCAAGACACTGTACACTAAATGGAGTATCAGTCTGACAGGCCTCCTGTATGTTGTTCAGTAGTAACCACTCCGCCTGAAAATGATTCTGGCTGTTCATGTGGAGATAAATCGAGTATTTATCTTCATGTGAAAAGCCAGGATCTTTTCAGGAACGAAAATGAAACATTAAACTAAAGAAATCTCATCCATGATCTGTAAAATCCGGTCGAGGTAAGAAAGGTTATGTTGGGATAAAGGACTATAGACTTAGAGAAGATGAATGATCTTGACCAACTTTGAGATAGCAAGTTTGATAAATATGTTGGATTGTGATGTAGAGAAACACCACCTGTCCTTTCAGATTAGTTATTTAACATATAACAATCAAACTACTTTACTGTTAAACAGTTTGTATAATGAATTTCACATAGACATACCACTTGTTAGGTTACAGGTGTGTCTTTGTGACTCTGACGGTATTGAACAGATAGGATGATATAAGATAATCTTTCTTTATTTTACAGTTGTGAAACAAGTTACTTTATCTTATACTAATTACTCTGGTTGGCATGTATGTAAGCATGTGAGTGGTCATGGGAGGAAACCAGAGTAGCCAGGGAAAAAGCATGTGGTCGGGTACCAGGTCACTCCTTAGGTTTTCAGGTATGTTCTGGTAATTAAACTCTGGATGGCTAGATGAAAGGCAATATTGTACTACATGACAACTCTGACAAAAGATGAAGGGTACAGGTCTTTTTGACCTCTTGTATAACTCCTAATTTGAAGGACAATTGTGTGTCCTTGGTTCTGTAATCATTACGTGACCAAGACTGTTTTCTCTGATGTTCTCTAATAAGCCCACCATATGAGAAAGAAGTAATCTGGTTTTACTGTAAAACTCGGGTGTTTTCACCTGTATTGACCAATATGGAGAATACACTGAGCACCATTGTAATATACCTACTGTATTTTTCCTATAGTATGCACAGAGTGCCAACACATTACCTCTTTCTCAGGGGGTGGACTAATTACAGAAAATTTAACCAGCATTACTTTGCAATTGTACTCTACAGCAATATATATGGGTGGGCTTATTACCAGACATGGGCTTAATATGTGATATATTCTGTAACAAATTCTGCAAAGTTCAGTGTTTTAGTATTCCACACAGTATTAGACTGTTGTCAAAATATTTGTTTCTGAAAACTAATTGCTCTATCTCTTCTTCTTCTTTTTTTTTTTTTTAAACAAATGTCTTATTTTTTGTCTTCTTTTCAGAAATAAAGAACCTGATTCAGAAGTTAGACTGTTTAAATAGTCCATTTTCACAGAGTTTGGTTTTAATGTTGAGAGGAGAAAAATAGTAATTACTTTTTTATCATTCCTGGTTTTGTTTTTCTAATCATTTCTGGTTGTAAAGATATTTTCAATAAAATGTTATTATTAATTTAATTGATTTGTGGTGGAGATTGTCTGCTAAATGAGAATTTCATCTACAAACTTTGTAATTTTAATCATGTGGTGGGATTATTAATTTTGAAAAACTGCCAAAATTGCTTGCTTATTTTTCTATAAACACACTTAAGAATTTTTTTAATCAAGCTTTCCTATCTTTAGACAGAGAAATGATTAAAATTTTGATTGAAATAGAAATACATTGAGAGAAACATTTTTAAAGTGAAAATCAATTTTTTAAAAAAATCAGTTGAAATAACGACTTTGTTCTCTGCTGTATTGTAGAATGCACTATGTCAGAGTTTAGGAATAAAAAATTCCGATCAATAAAAATTCTTTATACGTGGTAGTACCTGTGAAAAAAATCTTTTATATCACTTGGCAGGAGCTAGCTGGCTCTTAATGCGCAGCGGGAAATAACTTTTATTAATATTTTATGCTTGGTGCATATTTGCCCTTTATTCCTTTATAAAATTTATTCTGTTGGTGATGTATGAAGGGAGAAAAAATTTAATTTATTTTATGAAGTTTGATAGTTCTAGTTCATAGAGTCCCCCTTCAGGGCCCCAATGTAATTTTTCAGTGCTCCAGATTACAACAGCCTAGCTTTTATAGGGAAAAAAAACGTTCAAGTTATACATTAAATATTTTTCATGTGCGTAATTTAAGTCCGATTACATAAGATATTGATTTTTTGAAGGAAAGAGTGTCCTTTTTAATTTTGCAGTTTGAGTTATTTTCTGTGCTACCATGGCAACAGGGGTTTAATAAAGTAGTAAAATAATTTCAGAATGCACAATTTTTTTCTCTTTCTCGCTTATTCCTCCGACTGTGCATTTTATTCATGAATCTCTTGTTTCATAAATGGCTGACGGAAAAAAAAATTGGCAGGAGTCCAAATGCACAATGCAAACCTGGATTAATTTATTTGTTGCCAGTAATATCAAAATGTCATCAGCCAAAATGATAAAACATAAAAAAAAACTGCATAAAAAATTGACAAATGCCTGAAGCTATAGATCTATAGCTACACAATAGAGGGTCCGTGCTCAGTGTAGCTCAGTGTTTTTCTCGGCTGTTAAATCCTTTGGCTGCATAGCATAAATATCTAACAATTTTTTTTTAAATGTACACTTGTAAGAGGATGTGTTTTCTCTGCCTGCCTATTTCACTAACTTTAAAGAAATACATGTCTTGAAGGAATAAAAAAATCTCCCATCAACATGAAACTAATAAACCCTTAATAGTTTTAGGTTTGCAAATAGGATTTTTTTTATGTGCAGTCTTTTCTTTATCAGCAGACGGAGATAAATGGAAAAATAACAAAGTGCATTTTTTTTAGATATGAATCATTATTCGTACAAGAGGCCTACATGGGGGATTTTTCTGCCTTTTTATCTGAGAAAATCAATAAAATGTTAATAAAATATACACAGGCCTTAAAGTTCATGCTGCATAAAGTATTTTACCTATAACAGTATTAATTGTATTTCCCCTTGGTGGGCCTCTTACCTTTAATATGAACTAGATGTACACTTCTGTTGTGTATTTCATTTTGCTCCGACAAAAAAAAAAAAGTAAAATTTTTATATCTGCACAAATTATGGATTGTGTAGTAAGGTTTAGTGATTTGTGAGAGAGAGCGGGGAAGTATGAGATGTTCTGTATTAATTCATTATTACATAACGCATACTGGGAGAACCTTCCATTCAATCATTAAATTCAAGCGACTCGCATTATATCACAAGGTTTATAGCATGAGTCGGCATAGAAAAAAATACTACAGGAAATTGAATGGATTTTTTTTTCACAGCAATACAACTGGCTCTTTTCATTTCAAACTAGACATTTTTTTAACTGTCTGGTTTTTTTTGAGAGCTTGTAGATCTAGTTTCATAGTTTGAGTTGGCAACTGAGCAGTGCAGAAGTGCATCACGACGAAGGGAAGGGTTTTTAACTGTTACCTATTTTTCTGTAGGTGATCCAAACCACGGATGTGCTCAACTGTTGTTACATATCGGAGTTTCAAAAGCCCTCTTTATTTGAGTCGGAACTGAGATGGGACATGCTTGTTGACGACCTGCGTTAAGCTTTAAGTCCAAGTTGATAGAATTTTTTCTAAATTGTCGTTGTATACATCATTGGCATCATTAGGCAAAACTTTTTAAGAAAAATCAAACATTTGTTTGAAGTTTCAATCAATATATTGACTGTGAATGACTCTTGGTGTTGTTTTAACATGTTGAGTAAGTATGGATCCGTGGTACCAGAATTTCAAACTTTGTCTTACTTACTGGCTACTTTCCAACAACAGGGAGAATGGAGGGCCACCAGGGATGGAAGCTTCTGGTCACCTACCGGTCAGTCCACTCGGGACACCTACACCGCCGGACCATCATCACCATCACCACTACCCACACCATCCACTCCCATCACCAATACCTCGTCATGGAACGACAGACCTTGTCTCGGGGGTGGACGTCCCACTGACGGAGACCCCTCCACAAATCTCCGACCCAGGCGGCGGGTCAAACAACAAGATGACCAACAAAAAAATAAAAACCGAAACTATGCCAAAACAAAACGGGTCTTCTGGTCATCCGGGATCAACAGGTCAACTTTCGCCAAAGGATATGTCATCACTGGTGAACCCTGACCGTCGTCACCTTTGTCCTCACTGTTACAAGGGGTTCAAAAGTCGCCAACAATTGACACAGCATAATCTAGTCCACACGAATGTACGAAAATATCACTGTAAGTTCTGTGAGAGATCCTTCAAGCAGTTGTCCCATCTTCATCAGCATCACCGGATACATACAGGTAAGTAGTATAAGTTTACCTGTACGTACTGACAATCTACCTGTTGTCTTATTTTACCTAGCCTTGGATCATTGTTATCAGGTATAGAACCTACATTAGTAAACACTGAAGATATTTATAGATTTGTTGATGTTTATACTTAAGGTAGCATGATTTGTGTTTATAATTAGAGGATTAATAGATGTGTACATATAGAGAATGGGTAAACTGTATATATAGAGAGGGAGTCATTTGTGTGTATCTATAGGGGGTCATTTGTGTTTATATATAGGGGGTAATGTGTGTGTATCTATAGGGGGGTCATTTGTGTGTATCTATAGGGGGTAATTTGTGTGTATCTATAGGGGGGGTAATTTGTGTGTATCTATAGGGGGGTTATTTGTGTGTATCTATAGGGGGTAATTTGTGTGTATCTATAGGGGGGTCATTTGTGTGTATTTATTGGGGGGGTCATTTGTGTTTATATATAGGGGGTAATGTGTGTGTATCTATAGGGGGGGGTCATTTGTGTGTATCTAGAGGGGGTAATTTGTGTGTATCTATAGGGGGGTCATTTGTGTGTATTTATAGGGGGGGTCATTTGTGTTTATATATAGGGGGTAATGTGTGTGTATCTATAGAGGAGTCATTTGTGTGTATCTGTAGGGGGTCATTTATGTGTATCTATAGGGGGGTCATTTGTGTGTATCTATAGGGGGTCATTTGTGTGTATCTATAGGGGGGGGTCATTTGTGAGTATCTATAGGGGTCATTTGTGTGTATCTATAGGGGTTCTTTGTGTGTATCTGTAGGGGGGGTCATTTGTGTGTATCTATAGGGGGTCATTTGTGTTTATATATAGGGGGTAATGTGTGTGTATCTATAGGGGGTCATTTGTGTGTATCTATAGGGGGTCATTTGTGTGTATCTATAGGGGGTTATTTATGTGTATCTATAGGGGGTCATTTGTGTGTATCTATAGGGGGTCATTTGTGTGTATCTATAGGGGGGGCATTTGTGTGTATCTATAGGGGGGTCATTTGTGTGTATCTGTAGGGGGTAATTTGTGTGTATCTATAGGGGGTCATTTGTGTGTATCTATAGGGGGTCATTTGTGTGTATCTATAGGGGTTAATTTGTGAGTATCTATAGGGGTTAATTTGTGTGTATCTATAGGGGTTAATTTGTGTGTATCTATAGGCGGTCATTTGTGTATATCTGTAGGGGGTCATTTTTTTGTGTATCTATAGGGTGGTCATTTGTGTGTATCTACAGGGGGTAATTTGTGAGTATCTATAGGGGAGTCATTTATGTGTATCTATAGGGGGTCATTTGTGTGTGTATCTATAGGGTGGTCATTTGTGTGTATCTACAGGGGGTAATTTGTGAGTATCTATAGGGGAGTCATTTATGTGTATCTATAGGGGGTCATTTGTGTGTTTCTATAGGGAGTAATTTGTGTGTATCTATTGGGGGTAATTTGTGTGTATCTATAGGGGGGTAATTTGTGTATCTATAGGGGGGGTCATTTGTGTGTATCTTTAGGGGGTCATTTATGTGTATCTATAGGGGGTAATTTGTGTGTATCTATAGGGGGGGGGGGTAATTTGTGTATCTACAGGGGGGTCAATTGTGTGTAACTGTAGGGGGTCATTTGTGTGTATCTATAGGGGGGTCATTTGTGTGTATCTAAAGGGGTTCATTTGTGTTTATATATAGGGGGTAATGTGTGTGTATCTATAGAGGGGTTATTTGTGTTTATCTATAGGGGGTAATGTGTGTGTATCTATAGAGGGGTTATTTGTGTGTATCTATAGGGGGGTAATTTGTGTGTATCTATAGGGGGGTCATTTGGGTGTATCTGTAGGGGGTTATTTGTGTGTATCTATAGGGGGGTTATTTGTGTTTATATATAGGGGGTAATGTGTGTGTATCTATAGGGGGGTTATTTGTGTGTATCTATAGGGGGGTAATTTGTGTGTATCTATAGGGTGGTCATTTGGGTGTATCTGTAGGGGGTTATTTGTGTGTATCTATAGGGGGGTTATTTGTGTTTATATATAGGGGGTAATGTGTGTGTATATATAGGGGGGTTATTTGTGTGTATCTATAGGGGGGTAATTTGTGTGTATCTATAGGGGGGTCATTTGGGTGTATCTGTAGGGGGTTATTTGTGTTTATATATAGGGGGTAATGTGTATGTATCTATAGGGGGGTTATTTGTGTGTATCTATAGGGGGGTAATTTGTGTGTATCTATAGGGGGGGGTCATTTGTGTGTATCTGTAGGGGGTTATTTGTGTGTATCTATAGGGGGTTATTTGTGTATCCATAGGGGGGGGTCATTTGTGTGTATCTAAAGGGGGTTATTTGTGTGTATATATAGGGGATCATTTGTGAGTATCTATGGGGGGTTATTTGTGTGTATCTGTAGGGGGTAATTTGTGTGTATCTATAGGGTGTCATTTGTGTGTATCTATAGGGGGTTATTTGTGTATCCATAGGGGGGTCATTTGTGTGTATCTAAAGGGGGTTATTTGTGTGAATATATAGGGGATCATTTGTGAGTATCTATGGGGGGGTTATTTGTGTATCTATAGGGGGTCATTTGTGTATATCTACAGGGGGAGGGGGTCATCTGTGTATCTATAGGGAGGGGGTTATTTGTGTGTATCTATAGGGGATCATTTGTGAGTATCTATGGGGGGGTTATTTGTGTATCTATAGGGGGTCATTTGTGTATATCTACAGGGGGAGGGGGTCATCTGTGTATATATAGGGAGGGGGTTATTTGTGTGTATCTATAGGGGATCATATGTGAGTATCTATAGGGGGGGGGGTCATCTGTGTATCTATAGGGAGGGGGTTATTTGTATATATTGAGAGGGGGTTATTTGTATATAAATAGGGAGAGGTTAATCTATATATATTGGGAGGGGGTAATTTGTATATATTGGGAGGGGTTATTTGTATATATAGGGAGAGGTTTATCTATATATATTGGGAGGGGGTAATTTGTATATATTGGGAGGGGGTTATTTTGTATATATATATAAGGAGAGGTTAATGTATATATATATTGGGAGGGGGTAATTTGTATATATTGGGAGGGGGTTATTTGTATATAAATAGGGAGAGGTTAATCTATATATATTGGGAGGGGGTAATTTGTATATATTGAGAGGGGGTTATTTGTATATAAATAGGGAGAGGTTAATCTATATATATTGGGAGGGGGTAATTTGTATATATTGGGAGGGGGTTATTTGTATATAAATAGGGAGAGGTTAATCTATATATATTGGGAGGGGGTAATTTGTATATATTGAGAGGGGGTTATTTGTATATATTTGGAGGGGGTTATTTGAATATATTGGGAGGGGGTTATTTTGGTATATATATAGTGAGGGGGTAATTTGTGTGTATATATAGGGAGGGGGTTATTTGTATGCAGGGCTCTTGATCTGCTAGATTATATCGGCCCCATTTCCAATGCAAAATATATATTTAAAGGGGGTTTTTAGGGTGTAATGAATTAGGAGGATTTTTGTAAATATTGGGAGGGGGTTATTTGTGTGTATCTGTAGGGATGGGTTATTTGTGTGTATCTGTAGGGATGGGTTATTTGTGTGTGAGAGCCCTGGTTATTTGTGTGTATCTATAGGGAAGGGGTTATTTGTGTGTACATATAGGAAGGGTTGTAATATGTGTATATAAAGAGGGAGGGGTAATTTTGGTTTATATATAGGAAATGGTTCCTTTTTGTGTTAGGAGGGGGTTATTTAGATATATATATTTAAAGGGGGTTTTTAGGGTGTAATGAATTAGGAGGATTTTTGTAAATATTGGGAGGGGGTTATTTGTGTGTATATATAGGGAGGGGTTTAATGTATGTGATTTAATTTGTGTGTATATAAGGGAAGGGGTTGTTTGTATATATAGGGAGGGGGTTATTTTGGTATTATATATATATAGTGAGGGGGTAATTTGTGTGTATATATAGGGAGGGGTTTAATGTATGTGTTTATATAGTGAGGGGGTAATTTGTGTGTATATATAGGGAGGGGTTTAATGTATGTGTTTATATAGTGAGGGGGTTAATTTGTAGTGATAGATAGGGAGGGGGTTCGCCCATATGTTCTCTGTGGAACTCTCTGTTACTTGCTTAGACTTCAATGACTACTTTATACTAAGAAGCTAGGTATTCTGATGAAATGTGTGCAATACAGGTAGTTATTCAGTGAAATGTCAGCATCATGATTTGTCAATTATCCTACAACACACACACCTTGACTTATTTAACTTGACTTAAATCTACAACGGGGCAGGGGGGGACTGCTTTGTGTTGTGCCTACACCTGATGTCTATTTGACTTAAATCTACAACGGGGGGGAGGGTGGGGGGTCAAATGCCAGACCCCTGTTAAATTTCACCTGTGTAATTTACTTACAGTTCATAGAAATCACCACTTTGATGGAATGATACTCAAATACTCACACTGGGGTTGACTTTTACAGTTAGCAAACATGAACACATGGTGTTGACTTTTACAGTTAGCAAACATGAACACATGGTGTTGACTTTTACAGTTAGCAAACATGAACTGATGGTGTTGACTTTTACAGTTAGCAAACATGAACACATGGTGTTGACTTTTACAGTTAGCAAACATGAACACGTGGTGTTGACTTTTACAGTTAGCAAACATGAACACATGGTGTTGACTTTTACAGTTAGCAAACATTAACTGATGGTGTTGACTTTTACAGTTAGCAAACATGAACACATGGTGTTGACTTTTACAGTTATCAAACATGAACACATGGTGTTGACTTTTACAGTTAGCAAACATGAACACATGGTGTTGACTTTTACAGTTAGCAAACATGAACACATGGTGTTGACTTTTACAGTTAGAACACAAACATTAGCAAACATGAACTCATGGTGTTGACTTTTTTTGAACACAGACTTTTACAGTTAGCAAACATGAACTCATGGTATTGACTTTTACAGTTAGCA